GCTCAAATAGTTCCACAAAAAAACAACGGGAGGCCAAAAGATCAAAGACGAAGACAAACAAAACACGGGGAACAAATCCCATCTCAACTCCAACGTGTTCCCCGCGGGTGGACCCACGGGTAGTGCCCCACCCGTGGTCCCGCCCGCGGGTACACAACCCACAGGGCACACGTTCCCCGCGGGTAGGCCGGCGGGTGGCGCCCCGCCCGCCGTTCCACCCGTGGGTACGTCCCTGTACCACAACAAATCCCTTCGGGGATTTTTTCCTCCAAACACAACTTCAAGTCCAAAACACACCAAATCTCACCAAACACAACAAAATGACTTGAACCAAGGAAAATGCCAAGCAATGGCACAAAGGAATCCTAAACACAAGCTCTAGATATGCAATATCACAAGATAAATGCATAAACTCTCACATTTCATATCAAAGAACAAGTAGAAGCCAAGAAATCATATATAGGTAAGCAAAATAGGTTTTGTAGAGCATGGGTTACCTCTTGAAGACCAAAAGACTCTTCTTACACCACAACAAGCTCTCCACTAAGCTCACTAGCCAAACCCACTTCAAGATCAAACCAAAAGATCATAAAGATCCAACCTTTAAGAAAAAGACAACCAAGATGGAACCAAAAAGACTAGACAAGCTTAGATCTTACCCTTCTAGATGCCAAAATAGAGGAAAGATTGAATCTTGGAAGCAAAACTTGGAATCTTGACAAAGGCTTCTTTTGTCTTGAAGAACAAGCTACTCTTGTTTTCTAGAGAGAAGGTAGATATATTTTCTAGGAAATGTAAGGGAATGAAATGAAGAAGTCTTCTAGGTTTAGGTTACAAAGCTAGCTCTTGGTGAAAAGACAAGGATACCCTTACTAACTCTTAAAAAGTGTAAGGAATAAGGGAACTCCTCTCAAAGCAAAAGGTACAACACAACTTAAAGATTGACTAGTCAAATACTATTCCTTAAGTATCAAAAATCAGGATTTTAGGAATCAATTCCTCAAAAGAAATAGAATTAATTACTCAATTAATTCATGGTTTGGAGTGTGGATTTTTGGGGTGTCACAGTCTTGAGTGCCCAGCTTAGAGAGGAATGATTGGAACAACGACGTGGGGAGAGCTTTAGTGAAGCCGTCTGCTATTTGGCTTGGTCAATGAACAGACAATAACTTGATCAGACATTTTGTGATCTTTTCGCGGACTATATGACAGTCGATTTCGATGTGCTTTGTTCTCTCGTGAAAGACATGGTTCTCAGCTATAGGAATAGCTAACTTACTGTCACAAAAGACTGCAACCAATTTTGTCATCTCGACCTGCAAATCATTCAGCAGGAAATATATCCATTGCACTTCGCATATTATGGCTGCAAGGGCTCTGTACTCCGCTTCGGAAGAGGACATCGATACTGTGTAACATGATAATAGGGCTGGCACCCGACCCGGATCATAAGTGGGCATCCGACCCGACGCCATATTTGACCCGGCACCACATGGAACCCCAACGGGCAAAACTCCAACTGTAACACCTCGTGTTACGGCCTTTAACCCCGAATTAATTATTTAATTAATTCCGTTAATAATAATTAAAAAGGATTTAATTTGGTTAGGATTCCCTTTAATTAATTAATGTGGTCCATCATGGATCGTGGACCCTTGCCTAGACTAGAGTCTTAAGCCTATTAGGAATAAAGAGAGTAAACCTTTTACTAGTCAGATTCCAATTAGGAATCCTAGACCTATATATCCATTAGGAATAAAGGAACTAGGCCTTTACTATTCAGATTATGATTAGGATTCCTAATTCTATAAATAGGGGATTAGAAAACAATTAGAACCCGTACCACCCATAGTTATATTACACGAAAATATTCACGGGAGATTCCCCACCACCAAGCCTAGGGAGATCAATCGGATGAATATCTTAGAGAAGAACCTTAGTAGCCAAGGATTCTGATTAAGGCTAAGAGGTAACCCATGTCTCAACAAAACCTATTTTCCTTGCTATAATCTTCTTCTTTGTCTCCATTCATATGCAATTCTATGCTTGTGTCTTGATAAGGCTTTTATGATGATTATGATATGATCTTGAGGTTTATAAGATGATCTTATGTGTTGATCTTGATAATCTTGATGATTATGAGAGGATCTTGATAATTGTGTGTTGATCTTGATAAATCTTGATGTTATTGATTTTAAAGATAAAGTTATGATTTTGTGATTTAAATATGATTAGAGCCCTAGGTTAAATCGTGGATTTCGTATTGTGATATTCTTGGTATATTTGGGTGGGATTTTGCATGTTCGGGTATTGAGTCTTGGTTATGTTTAGAAGTCATGTTAGGATGTATTTAATGTGATTCTTGGTTTTAATCCATTACTTGATTACGTGGTGTCGTCGTTTGTGTTTGAAAGTGTCTAGACATGGTTTCGGGTTCCACGAAAGATCCCGGGACCTAATTATTACAAAAGAGTCAGTGGGGGGTAGGGAAACCTGCCACCTACCCGTTGCCCCAAATAGGGCCACCGGCAGCGGGCAGCCAGCAGCCAGGCGACTGCCCGCCGGGCACCCGGTGCCCAGAATAGCAGCGCCGGCGGGTGGTCGTCCACCCGCCGGCCACCCGCTGGTTTCCCAAGTGGGACTTGGTGGTTTTCCCCGTTTGATGTTTCCCCATGCCCCGTGGTGTCCCATTGGACCCCGTTAGTCGTGCCTGAGTCTAGGTTGATGTTTCAGGTACCGATCGTAGGATAAAAGAGTCTTGTATATTGCATGCTAGTTGAATTGGTAACCCGTTGGCCTAGGTGAAAGATGTATGAACCCCTTAGTCTTATTCCTAGTATGTGGTTGACCACGCATAAGTTTAATTTATACGTTTTCTCCCTTTGTGCTAATGTGGGTTGCATGTGTTTGCTATGTGTTATGTGTGCATGATACCCCAATTGGTTGCGATCAATTGGCTATATGGGCAGTTGGATGGGTTGAGAACCATCGGCTGTTAACCAGGCCGGTTGCGATCGGTCAGGTATATAAATATATATAGGGTTGCGGTCCACCGTTTGGTTGCGATCAAACGTTATAAATGAGCTGCGGTTCATAATCTGGTTGCGATCAGAAATACACACTATTTGGGCTGCGGTCCACCGTTTGGTTGCGTTCAAACGTTATAAATGAGCTGCGGTTCATCGGTTGGTTGCGATCAACCCCTTCGTGCTGCGGTACGAGGCAGGGTGCTTCGGGACCGTGTTAGCGCTATATGCGCTGACCCTCATGTATGGGCATGCGATTGGTCCTGCGGCACCACCAAAGTGTGCTTATGTGTTGAGATGATGATTGAATACGGATATGTTTGATGTGGAATAATCTTGTGACCTTCGGGTGTATGCTAGTATCTTATATGCGTGATTATAACTGATGAATGTGCCTACCCCTACTTGTTGAATCTATTCTCGGTTTTAAACTAGAGTCTCCTAAGTATATATATCTTCCGGCTTCAAAATGGTTTTCATATATATATATATATATATATATATATATATATATATATATATATATATATATATATATATATATATATATATATATATATATATATATATATATATATATATATATATATATATATATATATATATATATATATATATATATATATATATATATATACCTATATTGTATTTTAACGCGTTGGAGTTGGTTACCAGCATTATTCACTGAATAGATATATTTGGCTTTCAGGCACAGATGAGTAGCTCTGGAGCGCGCTAGAGGACCCGAAGCCTAGTTAGTTAGTTTCCTTATCGGCCTGCGTGCCATGATGATGTATTGACACTGTTTTGAGGATGTTTAAATAGTATTGCCTGTGCATCTGAGTTCTCTGGCTCAGATGTGGCATAGCACCCCAAACACTTATGTTTAGTTACGCTCTGTTTTGGGTTTTAATGATAGTATTGTAGTTATTTCATAAGCATTCAAAGTTTTAAATTTTAGGGGTGTTACACCAACGGACAGAATTCCAACAGGTGTCACCTTTACTGCCATTGAAGTCACCATTGAAGCCACCATTGAAGTCACCATTGAAGCCACCATTGAAGGCACCATTGAAGTCACCATTGAAGTCACCATTGAAGCCACCATTGATGATAGTGAATTAAAAGCTTAGCTCCCCATTTATGTCCCATGTTTTTACCGTTAGGACTCTGGTATAAATGGGGCTCTCCTCAGCAAGCAAAGGACACGCCATATTCTGTACTGAAACACTCAGCAATACAACTATTGTTAGTCATATTATATTATCCGGTAACATATTTACCGTCATTGGTGCTTTCATTGAGAGCCTGAGTCCAACACTCAAGCACGCAACGACACATACAACTCATTCCCTCTTTCAACAGCAAGCTTGGAAGAATGGAGTCCCACGGTTCCCGCAACGTGAACAACGGCAATGCCTCAGGTGACCTCCGAGACCAACTCACCAACAATCGTGGAGGGGACCTCCGAGAACAGCTCAACAACGGGAGGCCCAGGGACCTTCGAGACCAACTCAACAATGGAGGGGCAAACCAAGCTGTGAACCTCCAGGCGATCGCCGATGCCATTCAACAAGCAGCGACGGTGCAAAATCAGGTGGCAGTAGGACTGTAAGGCCAAGTGGTCCGCCGCGACCTCAGGAAATAGAAGTAGAATCCCCGCGGAGGGTAGATGCCCAGCAGGACGCAACCCGTGCAGCGACGGACGCAGGGCGCCGTACCAGGACAGGGGGTCCAGGGGAGGACTCCCAAAGAAGTGGACCGGCCAGACAGCAACCAGGACATTCCCGCTCTGCCTTGAAACGATTGGGACACGGAGCGCCCGCGCGACAAAGGCTAGAATCGCGGGCCGAGGGGTCCTCCGCTTGAGGCCCTCGCCGACACGAAGATAGAGAAGTAGAAAGATCACCCACAGAGTGGATGGGCGAGTCTCGTGGGCCGGCCCCGCACCGGCACGGTGGTGAGTCGCGGAGTATGAAGCCCTCCTCAATAGGCCGGCCCCACTTTAAGTTATCTAACAATGAGGCGGAGTATGAAGCCCTCCTCAATGGGCTGCGGTTGGCGGCAGGACTACGAGCGAAAAAGGTTCGGATTCGATGCGATTCCAAGTTGGTAGTCAGCCAGGTATCTGGAGAATATGAAGCCAATGAAGGAAGCATGCAGAAATACAGAGACGCGATGCTGAGAACCTTGCGCGAATTTGAGGGATATGAAATACACCAGGTACCAAGAGAGCAGAACACCGACGCCGACATGCTCTCCAAACTAAGCACCAGAGTCCCCAACCACATCTGGAAGATCGCTCGGCTAGAACACCTCGAGACTTCAACTATCGATATTTCATGGGTCTTCCCTGTGCAGACTAGGGAGCCATGTTGGATTGACCATATCAAGCGATACAAGGCAGATGGGCCCTTACCGCAAGATGAGGCAGACGCAAAGGTAACAAAGTTACAGGCACCCAGCTACGTCGTCTCGGGCGATAATCTATACAAACGCTCCTACAACGGCACGTTACTGAGGTGTCTATACCCAGATGAAGCTAAGTTGGCGATGGAAGAAGTCCACGAGGGGGTATGCTCCGCGAACCAAGGGGCGTACACCATTGCACGACGCATCATGTTGCAAGGGTATTTTTGGCCCAAAATGCTGAGGGACTGTGCCGAGTATACAAAGCGATCTCCCAAGTGCCAGGAATTCCAGGCACTACCGGGTCGACCTGCGACAAACTACACCCCGGTAAGCATCGCGATTCCTTTTTCAAGATGGGGAATTGACCTGGTATGGGCCCTTTGTGACACCCCGTAAATCCAAATTTTATTTAGGGCTTAATTAAGTAATTAATCCTAATCCAATTGGTAATTTAATTCTTTAAATTCCTGAAAATTTAATAGTCGGGGACTAGTAATTGACTAGTCAACCCAAGTCAAGGTGTTGTACCTAAAGCTTTGTGAATAGTTCCCTTGTTCCCTTACATCTCTCTCATCTTAGTAAGGGTAAAGAAGACATTTCCCTTATGATTGTATTCCAAGCTAACCTAGAAGACATCTTTCATTTCTCTCCTAACACTTTGAAATCAAAAGTTCTTCCTTCTCTCTAAAAACCTAGCTAGCTTTCTCTCCAAGCTAAGTTTAGGCTTTCCAAGATCTTCAAAGTTTGTCTCCAAGATTCCACCTTTCCTACTCTTGAGCATCTAGGAGGGTAAGATCTATGTTCCTTTTGTGTTTTTAGTGTTTTCTAAGGTATCTTTTCTTAAAGATGAAATCTTTATGATCTTTTGGTGTGTTCTTGAAGTGGGTGTGGGAGGTGAACCTTGTTAGGGGCTTTGAGAAGTGTTAAGTGAAGGTTTTGTCTTCAAGAGGTAACTCATGCTCTACAAAATCTATTTTCCTTACCTATATGATGATTTATTGGATTCTACATGTGATTTTGCTATGAAATGTGAGTGTTGATACATTGTCTTGTGAAAATGCATATCTAGAGGTTGTTATTAGGGTTCTTGTATGACATTGCTTGGCTATTCCTTTGATTCAAGTCATTTTGTTGTATTTGGTGAGATTTGGCATGTTTTGGACTTGAATTTGAGCTTGGTGTTGAAAATCCCCGAAGGGATATTTTTGGTACAGAGGTTGTACCCGCGGGGTACGGGTTGTGTGGAACGATGGTTCCCGTGGGCGGAACCACGGGTGGGGGTCCACCCGTGGCCCCACCCGCGGGTACAGAATGGTGGGTGTGTGGGGATTTGTTCCCCGCGATTCTTTTGACCCGGTAATTGATGTTTTGACTTCCCGATGTTCTTTGTGGAACTATTTGAGTGTCTTCTTGATATTTCGTATGTCTAGAACTATATGGTAGGACTCCATGTAGGTGTTGGTGTCTTGAATCGTGCTAAGTGTTCAATCTTGTGATTCGTTGAACCATGATGAGTCTTGTATGTTCTTCAGAACTGTGTTTGGTTTACCCGTTTGATAAGCATGCTAGTTTGGTGTTTAAATGCTAGCGTGTGTGGTTTGTTCTTTCCTATTGTGGATGATGACTTGTGTCAATCATCGTTGTTGTCGGATTGTGATCCTTTCTTTGTTGAGTATGGTTTCATATCTTCGTTGTGATCCGTTGATTGATTCCTATGATGGTGTCGTGTGTGTGGCTGTACCTGGATTGCACGATTAATGGTATGGGACAATAGTCACTAAGGTACGGCAGTGGTCCTCGTGGTGGCCATGACGCGAATATGGAGTTTGTGACCTGTGTGATGGGTTCACGTTTTCTTGGGAGGCATGTGTTGCCATGTGTGTGATCGGTACCCTCGTGTACTATGTAATCGATGGTAATGTTGGAGGTTGTCGGAGGGGGGACGACGGTCCTCGGAGGAATAAGGTTGGACTTGGTGTACAGGGGTCCTGGAGGGTAAAGGTTGGAAGTAGACATAAGGTTGGGGGTAGCCATAAGGTTGGAACCGGGCATAAGGAAGGCAAATCAATTCGTGATGGGTGATGTCACGAAGGCATGTGTTGCCATTGTGTGTTTATCAATTCGTGACGTGTGATGTCGCGAAGGCATGTGTTGCCAATGTGAGTCTCTTATCCTCTTGTGTTGTGCATGTCGGGTGATATTCTACTGAGTGATGGTAGAGTATACCTTGAGCCTTACTTGTGTTGTCGTTGTTTACATCTTGTTGTCTTGGGATGTGTTCCCTTATCCTTATTGAGAGTGGTATAGAGTCTTGTGGTTGACTTCTATTCTTGGCTTTGAACTTATATATACAGTATTCCGTTTCAAAATGATTCGTATATACTATCTATCTATATATGCTATTGACATGTATTGGTGGGTTACCAGCATCTTTCGCTAACCGGGCGTCGTCCCATTTATCTATGTGCTTTTCAGGTTCCGAGTAGTGGCGAGCGCGATCTAGTGATGGATACTGTAGATCCCTCAGACTATGTAGTTTTTTTTTGGGGATGTGTGCCTTCTTTGTTGGATTTTAGACTTGTGTATGGTTTGACCTTGTCCCTTTTAGACTGATGATGTGGATGTTGTTTTCGCCTGTGCGTTCACCTTAGTGTGGACGTGGCATAACACTCTTCGTTTTCCAGTTTTTATATAGTTAGACTTCCTCTGTGATTGCTTATATTGTGGTTAGACATCTTACATGTTTAAGTTTAAAATGGCCTGGAAATCGGGGGTGTTACACCCTTCCCACGGGGACTAGAAGCAGGAAGTACATCATTGTGGCCATCGACTATTTCACGAAGTGGGTGGAGGCCGAGCCCCTGGTGAGCATCATCGCAGCAAGGTGCAAAAGGTTTGTCGAGAAGAACATTCTGTATCGTTTCGGTATCCCTCTTCAAGTAATCACAGACAATGGTCGTCAGTTTGAGGCACGAGAATTTTCAGAATTCCTAGCAGGATGGGGCATTAAGCATAGCCGGGTGGCGGTATCTTATCCTCAGGCGAACGGACAAGTGGAGAATGCAAACAGAACCATCCTCGACGGCCTCAAGAAAAAGCTAGAAGTAGCCGGCGGAGCCTGGGTGTAAGAACTCGACGGCATCCTATGGGCCTACCGCACGACACCAAGAAGGGCCACCGGAGAAACCCCGTTCGCCCTCGCTTATGGATTCGAAGCTCGGGCCCCGGTGGAAGTGATCATACCTAGTAGAAGGGTGGAGGAATTCGAGTCAGAACAGAATGAACTCCACTAAAGGGTTGATCTGAACTTCTTAGATGAGAAGAGAGAAGCGGCATTTTGCAAAATGGAGAACTACGGTCGCCAGCTAAAGTCCTACCACGACGCAAAAGTCCGACCCCGATATTTCCAGGTCGGCAACCTTGTGTTGCGAAAAAGGGAAGCTAGCCAACCCCTGGAAGGAGCAAAATTCTCAAAGAAATGGGAGGGGCCTTACGTAGTGGAAGAGATCGTGCGCCCAGGAACATACAAGTTAAAAACGACAAGGGGAAGGATGATCGATCGGGTATGGAACTCGGAACATTTGATCAAGTATTTTCCTTAATATCCTATAGTGGTAATCATTTGGAACGAGTACTTGGTAATCGCGGTCCGTCCGCTCTACATGCTAAAACTTTCTGAAATAATATCTTGTTTTCGTGGTCCGCCCATGTTTATTGAAGCAAGTTCGTCATCATCCTTTACGAAGCTTTGTGAAATAATATCTGGTTTTCATGGTCCGCCCATGTTGTTTATTGAAGTGAAAAAAAAAAAAAAAAGGCAGGACCGAGGCGCGCCTCGGCCACGGCCAAAGATTGGCCGAGGCACGCCTCGGCCAACGCCGAAGTCCGTCTCGGCCCCATAAAAAAAAAATCAAAGTAACAAGTTTATTCTGAATATTCCGAAAGTATTCCGAAAGTAACAAGTTTTATTTCGAACATAGAAAAGCAAATTATTCAAAGATATAGCTGGGAAGCAAGGAAAGAATCTCAGGTACGACTACAGAACTACTCGTTGTCCTTGATGTCCTCAATCACAATCTGATCAAGTGGAACATCGGGGAAGTTGCTGGTGTCGATGCCATGAAACTCGTCCACCAAAGAATCCTCACGAGCATCGGTAACATCATCGGCGGATTCATCCAGGACATCAGGGTCAGGATTCTTCTCTATCAGGGTCAAAAGCAGAGCTAGCTACGTTATACGGTGGGCGTACTGATCAATTGGCTGTGGTGGTTGCGTTTGAGTGCTGGAAAGGTGCCAAGCAAAAAGGTGAGGAATCGACGTTCTGTTCTCTGTATTATGTATCATCTGGTACCATGAAAATGATATTAAGAATGCGCAAGTAGCTGTAGTCCGAATTGCTTCGAAATGGGTTTACTATATAAAGATACATGTCTGAGTATAATCTAAATGCTCAAGATCCAGGAATTCTACACGTTGTCCTTGTTGCTGGTTTGTATCCTATGGTAGGGAGAATGCTTCCAACTCTCAGAGGTGGAAGGAGAAGTGTTGTAGAAACTGCAGGTGGTGATAAAGTTCGATTGCATCCTTGCTCTACTAACTTCAAGCTGTCAGTCAAAAACCGTGAACAACCTATAATTCTATATGATTAGATAACTCGTGGAGATAGTGGTTTGCACATAAGACGTTGTAGTATAATTGGGCCACTCCTGCTGCTATTGCTTGCAACTGAGATTGTAGTGGCTCCTGTGAATGATAACAATGATGATGGTGATGACAATGAAAGTGGCTGCGAAGATGACAGTGAGGAAGAGAATAAAAAATCAGACCTGTCCAATGGAGAGAACGTTATGTCGTCTCCTGATAATAGAGTGAAGGTCGTTGTTGATCGGTGGCTACCTTTTTTTTTCAACTGCTCTTGATGTTGCTTAGATATACTGTCTGAGAGAGAGATTATCTGCTGCAATTTTGTACAGAGTGACATATCCATCCAAAGAACTTCCTGAAGCTCTATGTGCTTCTATGTATGCATTTTCTTGTATCCTATCATTTGACTGGATGAATGGGATCTCATTGCTATATGAGCCCATCGACTCACTTACTACAATGGTTCGTTCTGCTGAGATCAGTGAGTCACCTTCTGGGAAGAAAAATGCGGAGGCTAATAAGAATTATCTTAAGTCACTTATGTGCCATGATAGCTTGCAAAACCACAACATGCCCACTTCCCTTGGCGCATGTTCATCTCAGAGTTCTGCATCGCAAGATCTCCTTTCAGGGTCAGGATTCTTCTCTATGACAGGCAAGCCAAGTACCACGGGGTCAAAATTCGAAACCTTCTCCCTCAGCACTAGAAAAATCTGTTGTTGCTTCGTATACATCCCAATGTTGAAAGCAACCTGCACCTCGGCCTCGACCGCCTCTTGGCCAGCTCCAGTTTTGAGGAATACCCGGACAGCCTCAGGAGTGCACACATACTTCATCGCGTCCTCTTTAAACTTCGCTGAACTCTTGTAGGCCTCCACAGCCCAGCCAAGAGCGTCAGCATGACCAACACGGGTCCTCTCATGGTCCTCCCGCTCCTTCCCTAGGGCAAGTGTAAGTGTTCCGTGCTCCTTCCTTAGCGCCTCAAGTTCGCCTTCCATTTTGCTCAGAGCCTCCTCCTGGGTCGACAGCAGTGCTCTGTGCTCCTTCCTCAGTGCCCCAAGCTCGCCTTCCATTTTGCTCAGAGCACCCTCCCGGATCGACAGCAGGTCCTTTAGGCTCTTGTTGTCCGCATCCCTACTTTCAACATCCTCAATGAGCGCGTCCGTCACTCGCCGCCGTTGGGCATGAATGATCTGTCCCTCTAGTAGGGTCTGCAGTAACAGACAGAGTAAGATACGCCAGGACAGGGAAAAAGACATAAGTATGAGGAAACTGACCTCAAAAATGTGTCGAAGGTAACGCTCTTGCAGCATGTTGACATCCATGGCGACAAGGTGTTCCAGGTCCGCAGGAGGAGCAATACGAGCAGCATACTCAACCCGCATCAAGACTTTTATTTATTATCGACACTCCCGGTGGCACGTCCGCTCCCAGTCGAATCAAGTTGGTCCAAACACGCGAGTCGGGCTTAATGGAAGTGTCTCCCTGCACCTCGGGGGGTTGGGGGGAAAAGGTAACGGCCGTGGGTGTGCGAGTTGATGGGGGCTGCGTCACCCCCTCGGCGACCTTGGATGGAGTAGGTGTGCATGCCGGCGGGGGTGGCATCACCTCCTCGGCCACAGCTTGGCTCTTTTTACCTTTCTCTACCTTGCTCTTCTTGGAGGGGGGATCCTGCGATCGCGACAAGTATCGACTAGATCTCAAAGAGGAAGACATGGTACCTGCAACAAAAGAAGACAAGTTAGAGTTAGTGGTTGATGAATAAAGACTAGGTGGTAACAGAAGAATACCCGTGGGTGCAAGAGCAGCAGGTTAAGTCCTCACGAAGCCTAAGCTCGCGAGTTTCCACTCGGTGGTATAATCAACGAACGATAAAATGCCATCCCCCATTAGGTCATCTACATCTCGGCGGAGAGAAGGACTCATGTCGAGGGAAGGAGGGCAACGTAGATGGGATCCCCATTTGACACGAAAGTGAGACGGAGAACCCACAAGTGTGACAAAGACTATTTTGGGTTTCCAGTCCTTGTTAAAGGTAGGGCGGTCCTCAAAGAGTTTGTAACGCGACCTACTCGAAACCATGACAAATCCCTTACCCTCCTGAGAGGCCCTACCAACTATGAAAAGAGCCAGGAAAAGATCTAGCGTGGGTTCTATCCTTTTGTCCTGACATATAGCAAGAAAGCCCGCAATCACCTAGTGACCGTTGGGAACAAGCTAGCCGGGGGCTATCTCGTAGAAGTTCATAAAGTCTATCACAAACCTATGAAGGGGAAACCACAGCCCAACCTGTAGCGACAGAATGTGGACCCCAAAATACTTATCGAGAGGTGGGTCGGAGATATTATCCTCAGGTTTAGGAGGGTAAGTCAGAACGCTAGGACCAAGGAGACCTTCGATATCCTCCCAATCCTGTGACCCTAGTTGAGGCCGTGTGGACAGGACGAGGGAGTTATCAAGAGAGGAGTATGAGGCCTTGCGCTTTTTCTTTTTTTTCGGTTGGGGCTTAGGTGTTGGTGAGTCAACAACAAACGGAAGAGGGGGAAAATTTCCAAAAAGAGGAGAATCATGCTCGGGAAGGTACTCCTCATCATCACCATCAAAATCAAGTTCTCCGACATCAATCAAGGGCGTGATATCCATTATAAGCAGAAAGACACTAACCTCACCTCAGTTACAAATAAGCTCGCAAGACTAGGGTACAAAATTACCTGTTAGGAAAGAAGCATATTAAAAAATAAAAATGGCCCGAGGCCACGCGCCTCGGGCGGGCTGAGGCGATGCCCCAGCCCGAAGCTGGCCACGTCGCAAAAAAAAAAAAAAAAAAAAGGTTGAGGCGACACCTCAGCCAAAGGACGAGGCACACGCCTCGGCCGGCGGAGGCGACGCCTCGGCCGCAAAAAAAAAAAAAAAAAAAAAAAAAAGGTAGAAATGTGTATATATACATATATATTAATAAATAAATAAATCGTAACGATAAATAGTAATGACAGCAGAGACTTACAGAGTGGTGGCAGAAGTTGATGAAGAAGTGCTCTCAAACTACTCAGAGGCCAGGGTTTATATGGGAGAGGAGCCTGCGATAAAAAAGTTAAGTGAATATCATTAGAAGCAGGAAAGGATTTGGAAAGCACAAATCATAGGGGATTTGGAAAATAAAATCACATATCCTAAATCAATCAGGATTCTGCACAGTATCAAGATAGATTCAGCCTTACTCCCAAGTCAACTCAAACACATCCGTTGACTCAGGAGTAGGGGGGACTGGTGACAGGATAATAGGGCTGGCACCCGACCTGGATCATATGTGGGCATCCTACCCGGCGCCATAATTGACCCGGCACCACATGGAAACCCAACGGGCAAAACCTCAACCGGCAAAACTCCAACGGACAGAATTCCAATAGGTGTCACCTTAACTGCCATTGAAGCCACCATTGAAGTCACCATTGAAGCCACCTTTGATGAGAGTGAATTAAAA